ACTAGACCAGGCATCCCCAAACTTTTTACACAGGGGGCCAGTTCACTGTCCCTCAGACCGTTGGAGGGCCGCCACATACTGTGCTCCTCTCACTGACCACCAGTGAAAGAGGTGCCCCTTCCTGAAGTGCGGCGGGGGGCCGGATAAATGGCCTCACGGGGCCACATGTGGCCCTCGGGCCGTAGTTTGGGGACGCCTGCACTAGAACATCCCTGGTGCGCAGATGTGAGAGGAAATTTTCTGGCACAGTAGTGTTAAAATATGGGAGAAACAGTCTCAGCGGGGTGTTTCACATTACCCGAAAAAAACTGGAAATCATCCTCGGTTGAAATGCACACACTGAGACTAAGAATTGAAGCAGTGCAGTTTGAAGACGCACTTTTTTCCTATTACTTTCCGCTGTCAACTTTTTTTTTTTTTCCTGAGGTGGAGTTTCGCTCTTGTTACCCAGGCTGGAGTGCAATGGCGCGATCTCGGCTCACCGCAACCTCCGCCTCCTGGGTTCAGGCAATTCTGCCTCAGCCTCCCAAGTAGCTGGGATTACAGGCATGCGCCACCATGCCCAGCTAATTTTTTGTATTTTTGGTAGAGATGGGGTTTCACCATGTTGACCAGGATGGTCTCGATCTCTTGACCTTGTGATCCACCTGCCTCAGCCTCCCACAGTGCTGGGATTACAGGCGTGAGCCACCGTGCCCAGCCTCCGCTGTCAACTTTCTAGCACTGGCACAGTGGAGTTGGCATTTCGGAACACTAGACTGAGCTTCGGCTCCATGTCCTCCGTGGATTTGGTTAATTTTTCACTGTGTGGCCGGGGCTGGCCTCTATATTTAGCATCATTCAGGCATCAGAAAGGGGTTTTGTGGTTGTCATTGTCTTTGAGAGCAGGAGTTTGAGGTCTGACTCCTTCAGGAATGTGTCCTGTGATCTGGGCGTTGCAGTCTGCTCAAACCCCGGCCTATCGTGAAATGGCAGCTGTCAGCCTGGGGGGCAGCTGCTGAGGAGGTGCAGCAGGAATGGGGCTGGGCCAGTGAGCCGGCTCCAGCTTCCCTCAGGTTTTACTTGCCAAGCCGATGGCCCCTGGAACATGCCAGCACACACTGCCGTGTCTAGGGGCTAAGCCACTGCCTTTAGGGACAGGTGGTGTCCAGTTTGCCCTGAGAGGTGTGCCTGACTGGAGCCTTCGTGGCTGCAGTCCGCAGTGAATGTTAGTTTCCAGACAGTTGCCAGCAGCTGCCGGGCAGTGTGTGTGAGAGCAGGAGACATCCCAGAGGAAAGGGACTGGGGATGTTTTCTCAGAGGTTCTCCTTCCTGGAATCAAGTGTCACATGTCCAGAAGGCGAGAGAGGGTGGCCCGCCTGGTTCCAGTTTAGGAACAGGATGGAGCCAACTCCTCTTTCCAGAACTGTGGGCCCCACTCTTTCGAGCTAACACTTCCCCTCCCTCATGTCACTGAGGAAAGGGCTGCTGTCACCTCCAATGCCCTGAAGGTCCCTGGCCTTCACTGGCTGCTATGGCAGGGGTTCTTTCTGGCAGGGACTTCCCCACATGGCTGTTCCTTCTCTGAACCTTCACCCCAACACCCAGCCCGTGGAACCTGCAAGGGGGACTGTGCCAGCTGCAAAACCCAAAGGGCGGCCTCCACCGCCTGCCAGGACCCAGGAGATCTTCCTCCCCGCACCTGCTGAAAATTGCCAATTTTTAAATGCATGGGGTTCTTTTATGGGTTGAACCTCTCTTCTAATACTTTGGTATATTTTCCCTACAGTTTATATATTTTTAGGCTATTTTCTCGAGGTGTCTCCAGATTCCACACATCTATTTTATATAGCAAGTTCTTATGTTGTGTGTGTGACTCCCTGGGGTGTATCTGCACCAGTCTGAGCCTCTGAATTGCACTTTCCTTCATCCCTGACTCTCACTGACTCAAGGATGTGATGTGCCGGACACTTCTCACCCAGGTAGCCTAGGGCGCTCCCTGTCACCGATAGGGTAGCAGCCAAGACTGCTGCTGGCTGGAGGCGGTTCTGGCTTCAACTGCAGTGTGTTGATGTGGCGAGTGTGCTAGACAGATCTCAGTTGGGTTTTCTTTTTTTTGAGACGGAGTTTCGCTCTTGTTACCCAGGCTGGAGTGCAATGGTGCGATCTCGGCTCACCGCAACCTCCGCCTCCTGGGTTCAGGCAATTCTCCTGCCTCAGCCTCCTGAGTAGCTGGGATCACAGGCACACGCCACCATGCCCAGCTAATGTTTTGTATTTTTTAGTAGAGACAGGGTTTCACCATGTTGACCAGGATGGTCTTGATCTCTTAACCTCGTGATCCACCCACCTCGGCCTCCCAAAGTGCTGGAATTACAGGCTTAAGCCACCGCACCCAGCCTCTCGGTTGGGTTTTCTGACCACATGCTTGTGTCGCACAGATCCCCCGAGCCGTCCTATAGTGTCATCCTCCTGTGTGTTCCCAGGCTTCTGGGCCGCTGGGCCTGCTCGGGGAAATGCTTGCAGGTGGGAGGCCGTACAGAGAACCAGTGTGTGCCCGAGTGTCCACCGCTGCTGGGCAACTGCAGGACACCAGGGGGCGCCCAGTGACTCTGTCCTTTATATCACAGCAGCGACTGTGCTGACGACCTTCGAGCTACATTTTGGAACTGTAATACTAAAGGAAGAAAGAGTAATTTGTAGAATATTCCACCTTGCGATTCAGTTATAATCACTTGTAATGGGGCTCACCCCAAGGGCTTGGAGGGTGGAGGAGGGCTTATTGGTGTTGGGGTACAAGGAGGGGCTCTCTGACCTTCCAGCCTGGTGCTTCTGGGTGTCCCTGCCCTGGGGTGGGTGTATCAGGATGGCTTTGCCAGCAGGGGCAGCCTTGGGAAGTCCCAAGAACCATGGTCAAGCTGCAGGTGTGGGCTGGGGACACTGAGGTGGGAAAGCCAGGAGCTGGAGACTCCCTGTGTCCAGATAACCCCTCCCCTCTATCCAGCCACAAAGAACAGGCATCCCTCCTTCCGCCAGCTGTGCCATGCCCTGCCTGAGTCACAGGCTTGTTTGTCTCCTGCCGGGACTGACAGCTCAGACCCAGCTGCCACTGGGGACACCCCTAGCCATCAGTGGAAAACACCCAAGAATGATTAAGACCAAATGTCTTCCCATGGGTAGGGGGGGTTGGGGGGTAGTTCCAGCAAGGATTCCCAGACAGAGCAGGCCAAGGTCTGGCAGGCTTTTCTCTTCTGGAGACACAGATTCAGTGAGGCTGTGGGTTCCTGGAGTCACACAGCGTGGCAGTGGTGGCAGAGCTGGGCCAGGGACTGGCTCAGTGTGTGGGTCAGGAGCAAGTCAACAGCCCTGCTCCCCACCTCTTGGAAGGGGTTGCCACCAGGGGCAGTTTTGACTAAGACCTGGGAAGCCATGACTCAGAGCATGGGTCCCCAGGGTCTCTTTGGGCCAGCCAGGCTGCTGCAGACACAGACAGGAAGCACGCCTGATGCTCCTCCACCCTCGGGCTGCGCAGCGGGGCCGGGACTTACACTAGCTTGCTGAGTGACTTGCTTTCCTGCATGACCTCTGGCAGGCTGCCCTCTCTGTGCAAAGCCACCACTGGGACCCAGTCAGGGCCTGCTCCTTCTTCCACCCGCTCAGGGTGGCCTAGAGCTTGGAGGTGAGCAGTCGGGGCCTAGGATGGCCTGTGTCACCAGGGCATGTGGGTTTGGCCCAGTTACTTCCTCTCAGAGCCTCGGGCTCTTCCTCTGAGGATGGGGCTATTGGTGTCAGATGAGGTGAGCAGTGTGGAGTTGGGAACAGCAGGGCACACACCCGCAGGCAGCCGCCCTGGCCACGCTCCCTCCATTGCTTCCAAGTCCTGGGACAGATGCTCATCACCAAGGGGTTCAGCCTCTGATATTGTTTCTTGGTCTCAGTCCCTACGGAGTGATTATCAGTGGTGTCTCTTCTGTCCCCAGCATACATTCAGCCAAGCAGCCGTGGCTGCCACATGCAGGCTCCAGTGTCCCACTCGCCTTTTGTCTGGGGATGCCATATTCGGGAGAGTAGAATGTGAGCGGTGGCCCCAGTAGGCTGCAGGGCGACCTCTCTGAACCTTAGCACCCCCATCTGGGAAGGGACATTACACCTTCCAGGGGGAGGGCTGAGGAGGAAATTGTCAATGGCTGAATCCAAGGCTCACAGCGAGGGCAGGTGGGATCCGGGGCTGGGCCTGGGCCTGGAAGGACAGTGTGTTCCCCCTCCCCAGCCTCCCCAGCCTGCCCACCCCCGGCCAGGCCAGGACCATCTTCAAAGCACCTTCATGTCCATCTGTTCCCTGCTGTGGGCACCACATTCTCCATGGGACTAGATATTATGGGAGGGGAAGGGGCTGTGGGTAGGCAGGTGCCAGGTTGCTAGACCACAGATCAGCGTGGTAGGAACCTGGCACTGGGGCTGGTGGTGGGGAAGGGACCACCCTGAGGCAGTGGCAATTAGCCCAGCCCCATCTCTGGGCACAGAGATAAAGGGACACGTGGGGACACAGAAGGGCACAGCTGGCCAGCCTGCTCTTCCCCTCTCTGCCTGGTTTTTGCAGAAGAGTCAACAGATACATCAGAGAGGGCCAGCGAGCTGCCCATGGGGTCCCCAGCTCCTATCACTCCAGTGACACGGTGGGCAAGTCTCTGAGAACCTCGGAGTGGGACCCCAGGGAAAGCTGGGTGCCTGAGCTGGAGGCAGGCAGCAAGTAAGGGCCAAGCTGTACCCCTGCCCAGAAAGCCTTCCTGCCCCAGAACCCAGCCCTCTGCAGACAGGTCTCCCAGGGTATCATCCCCCTGGCTCCCGAGGCCTGCTCTCACTGACTCACTTGCTGCTCTGCCCCCAGCAGATCTGCCCCAGGGGAGCAGGTGAAAAGCCGCCGCCTGCGGAGATGCTTCGCAGTGGAGATTGGGGCAGAGGGGTCGGGAGAAGAGTTTCTGACTTTTAAGATTCTCCAAATCCAAGAAGAAGTCACGCTGTGCTTTGGAATGGTAGATGCTCATTTATGTAAAACAATAATAAGTGGTACACAAACTGTTAGAATAAAAAAATACCTTTTCTGAGGGGGAGGAGGTCCCCAGCCTGCTGCTGGATGGGGAGCGGGGGGTTAGCACCATTAGGGCGCAGGAGGCGGAAGCTCCGCCACAGCCCGTGGTGGGCACTGAGGTCTGTCGGTCGGTCTGTGCATCCTGATGCGGTCAGCGGCGGGCAGCCCGTTGATGGCCTCGGGAGGGGGTGCCATGGCTGGGCGGAGGGCATGAGCGGCAGCACTGGGTGCGGACAGTGGGCAGCTGGCAGCGGCCCAGCAGGCGCAGTGTCTCACAGAATCCGAATGACAGGCGGTCCCGCTCACAGCCTGTAGGGGGCAGGGGGGGCATCAGTGGTTTGGGGTACACAGAACCTGGCTCCCCACACCAGTCACCTTAAGGAGGCTCCAGCGGCTCCCTGCCATGCAGAGGGCCCTGGTTTCTGGAGGGGCTCCCGAACTGGAGTTGCACGTCTCCAGCTGTGGCTGTCTCTGTCCCACCTTCCCATGGCCGACCCCCAAGATTGGAGAACAGGCGCTGGTGGGCTGAGGTTTCTGGAGGAAAGGTCCTGAGACCCCACCCTGACCCCTTCCCATGCCCACGGAAAAGCCTGCCCAGGGCAATGCCCTGCCACTCGGGTCCATCCTTGCTCAGCCTTGGAATCCCCTGATGGAGCCTGGCACAAAACTGCAGTCCCGGGGGCTGCTGCCAGCCTGCAGTGGCCTCTGCCCCCACTACTCCCGGCACCTCCTCCTGCACCAGTGCATCTGTCCTACCAGGCCTCTGTGACTCTCTCCAGCCACGGGGGCTGCACTCAGCCTCAGCTTTGGGGTCACAGGGTCCCATCTCCCAGGCCAGCCTTCCATTTCTCAGGGAGGCCACGAAGCCTCGAAAGACTGGACCTTGCAGCCTGTCAGCGGAAACCAGGGGCTGAGGCTCGGCAGGGCCCTCCTGCCTGTGGTTGTCAGAGCTATTTTGGGAAGTGGCTTTTTTCCAGCCTCCTGGCCTTGCTCCTGATGCTGCTGTCACTGCTGAAAACCCCCAGCTGCCTGCCACCCCGGCCCTGCTCACTCCAGCAGATCTCCCGGGGGAGGAGGAGCAGGAGAGGAGCAGCCCACCCTGGGCCTGGGCCAGGGCCATCCTCCAGGCCCCGCAGAGGGCACGAGGCAGCAGGCAGGCTCCACCAGCCCAGCTCCGGGCAGAGCTCCAAAGCGCACATCTGCAGGCTGCATCCTGCTCGCCCGGGCTGACCTCACACAAGCTGCCTCACCTCTCGGGCCTCGGTCCCCTCCTCTGTCAACCCCACCTCTGCAGCAAACGGATGCGCCATGCTGGGTCATTGCAGTGACCACACACTCTGGAGTTTCCAGGCTTTCCAAATATCCGCCACACTGTCCCACATACCAGCAAAACATCCTGGGAATTCCAAGTCTCAAGGTGCAAGAGACCTTCCTGCTTCCCCTCCACTGTCCACTGGCAGCTGAAAACTCACTTCAGACAGCTTCTAGTTCAGCCACCTAAGCAGTCCCGCTCCCTCCACCCACTCACACCCACCCCTGGAGACCCTGCAAGCCCAGAGCCTTGTGGGCCATCGTCCCTGGTTCTGGGCCCCCAAGCACCTCAGTTCCTGTTCTCTGCCCCATCTGGTCCTCACCATCTGGGATGGTAAC